CTCAGAAGAGCAACAAGGTGGCATGGCAAAGAGCCACTGAGTATCACTGTTTTAAGGTAATACAGAAACTCAGGTCTGGTTCCACCAAACAGATTTATTTATTTATTTATTTATTATCACATTTGTACCTCGCTTTCCCTGCAAAGCAGGCTCAGGGCGGCTTCGACACACAACATATATACAACTTAAAAACACAATTATTAAAAACACTACAAATCAACAAACATAAAGTGCTGGCGGCAATTAAAAGTCACTTAAACGACATATTTTCAATGGATTTCCATTTCCCAATGTTCTAAGGTGTTTTTCTGCTCCTAGTTTCCTTCAGGCAACACCTCGATGGTGGCTCATGGGCCAGGTGCTGCAACAATCCAGCGATCCAGATAAACAATGTGGCATTAACTAAGGTGGGGGGATTAGGTTTCAACAGGGCTATTTTTGTAGAAAAAGTCCAGCAGGGATGCATTAGCATAATAGGCCATACCCAACAGCAGAAACTCATTAGCATATTAGGCCACACCCCTGCCAGCACAGCTCATTAGCACATTAGGCTGCACCCCCATGTTACCAGAAGTGTGGCCATCCAGCCACACCCACCTTTTGCTTCTTATTCTGTTTACCTTGTTTGTTGTCAAACCCCAGGGCCTTTTTTTGTAGCAGGAACTCCTTTGCATGTTAGGCCACACACCCCTAACGTAGCCAATCCTAATGAGTTTCTGCTGTTGGGTGTGGCCTATTATGCTAATGAGTTCTGGGCGTGGCCAACTCGGGAGCCAGCCGGAACTCCGTTCCTGTGCGTTCCTGCCCAAAAATAGCCCTGGGTTTCGACCATTTCCCATCTCTTTGCATGAAAAAACAAATCCCTGAAAGGCACAATGAGCAAAGCAAGGGGTGGGGGAAGGTTGATTTCTCCTTGCTTGCTGTGTTGGTTTTTTGTTGGCAAGAGTGCAGTCCAATCACACACACACACACACGGTCTGAAACACGGCAGCTCATTCTACCACACTGTCATTCTTATCAACACAATTTCCTGCACGAATCAATCAGGGGTGGTTCACACGTGCAGGGGAACAATCTGGCAGTGAAGCAGCAGAGACTTCAGATAACAACGGAGCATCCCACGTCAGACGATGGAGGATGAGGAAAAAGAAAACCAAATTCTCTCTTCTATTAAAAGGGAAACCCTCACCTGGATGGCCCAGCCTTGCCCGATCTTGTCACATCTCGGGAGCTAAGCAGGGTATTTGGATGGGAGACCACCAAGGAAGCCCAGGGTCACTATGCAAAGGCAGACAATGGCAAATCACCTCTGTTAGTCTCTTGCCTTGAAAACCCTACAGGGTCACCAGAAGTCAGCTGTGACTTGACGGCACTTTCCACCACCATTCAAGGGGTGGGGGAGAGACTTCTGTGCAAGTAGAAAGCAAACAGATGGCAATAAGGGGCTATTTTCCCTGGTTTTGTGAAACAAGACATAGTGGTTTGGCTCAAGGATGTAAAAGCCAGGGAAGTTTAGGCTTGCTGGCATCCTGCTGGGATGATACATTTTAGGAAACGGGTGTTTTAGGAAACAAGGTTTAGGTTTTTTGCCCAAGTAGCTCAGGACGGTAAACAGGAATCTTTTAGAGTGCCAAGTGGAAGGGGGAAGAGAGTCCGCCTTTCTTCATATTGATTTAAACAGATGTTAGATCAGCAAAAAACCATCAGATGAAGCGTTTTGTAAATCACCTAAGAGCTGCAGATCCCCTTACACCGAATCAGACCCTTGGTCCATCAAGGCCAAAGGCTCTCCAGAGCAGTGTTCCCTCTAAGCTGAGTTAGTGTGAGCTAGCTCACAATTTTTAAACCACAGGCTCACACATTTTTGCCTTCGCTCAGGAAGGATGGCTCCAGAGCAAGCTAATTTATGCAGCAGCCAAATTGCCCGCTCACAGCTTTAATGCCAGTAGCTCACAACGTAGAATTTTTGCTCACAAGACTCCACAGCTTAGAGGGAACATTGCTCCAGAGTCTCAGGTTGAGGTCTTCACATCACCTCCTGCCTAGTCCTTTTAACTGGAGATGCCGGGGACTGAACCTGGGACCTTCTGCGCGGCAAGCGGATGCTCTACCACTCAGCCACGGCCCCTCCCCTAACTAGTAAAGAGGCTTTGTTTTCACACTCACCCTTTTGCTGTCAAGTTACAGCCGACTTATGGTGACCTCACAGGAGGTGGGCTCCCATCCAAGTGGAAACCAGGACCGAGCCTGCTTAGCTTCCCAGGTCAAACTAGCCCAGCCTATTCAGGTTTCCCAACCTACATACACACCATTTCATCCCCGTCGCAACTGACGAAGTGTGCGGTGACTCAGGAAAGCTCATCCCCCACCACAAATCTTGTTAAAGTGCTCCTGGACTCTCACTCTTTTCTATTCCTGTGAGACACGTTAGGGCAAGGTCAAAAAGTGACTCCCTCATTGCTGGGCGGGGATCTTGTGCATGGAACTTTATCAGAGAAGAAAAATACCATTTCTGTGACAAAGAGACTAATTTGGCTTTGTAGAAGACTGCAAAAGAAAGGATAAATGAGAAAGCACAGGCTTGTGATTTTGTGAAGAGCTTTTTCCTTCCATGGAACGTCTGTGTGTGTTCCACGCCATTCATTACCTCCTTCTAGCAAACCCCACAGGAATATGACTTGCATGACATAAGTTGAATAACTGAATTCATAGCAGATCCCTCTGCATGCTCTGTAATAGGAAAGGCAATGTCTGACTTTAAAATTCACAAGAACTCTTCTTAACTTTACGAATCAGCTAAATCCCCTTCTGATTTTGATTCTTATCAGGTGAGGATGTAGCTCATGATTTCTAAGTAGCATTGTATTTTTCATAATGCTTTTGGAATTTAAAAGATTTTGCATTTCTAAATATTTGGAATATCATTAAAGTCAGGAGGAATAACCATTTCCCACTTATAAAAAACAGGACAAGGCAAACACTTTTTACAAGGCCCGTGTATCTTGATGGACCGAAGTTGCCAACTGACCGCTGTGACCTGCTGCTGGGCTTCTAAACAGCAGCTCCATCAGCCAAAGGCATGTGTGTGTGTGTGTGTGTGTGTGTGTGTGTGTGTGTGTGTGTATATTTATTTTGGGGGGGGCACGCAGGGATAACTTATCTTCTCACCTTACAGAGATTTAGCCGCTATTAAAAACACAGGTGCAAGAGCTCAAAGCCAACAGGCGCAACTGAGAATCTTGGGGCACCTTCCAAAAAATTATTATTGTTCGGGTTGCCAACAACCTGTGTGTGTTGGGGTTAGGGTTGCCAGGTCCCCCTTGCCCACTGGAGAGGGATGGGGGGCTAGCTTTGCCAAATCCAGGTTCGGAAACTCCTGGAGATTTGGGGATGGAGCCTGGGGAAGACAGGGACCTCAGTGGGGCACAATGCCAGAGAGTCCGCCCTCCAAAGCATCCATTTTCTCTGGGGGAACTGATCTCTGCAGTCTGGAGATGAGCTGTCATTCCAGGGGATCCCCAGGCCCCACCTGGAGGGTGGCATCCCTAGCAAGGGGGTAGACTTTCCAATTTCCCGGGAGGGGCTGGGGCTGGGCCAGAGGCATTGCTTTGCTAGGAGCAAGGGTGGCTCCCGGGGGAGGCTGAGCAGCTTCCTGAAAATTTCGGCGGGGGCTGAAGCCCCGCCGCCCCCACGAAGATTACGCCTATGATCCCTAGCCGGGGGGAATGTCTGTTGTGTAAACGGAGAGCTGGAGCTTTTCACGCTAGGAGAACACAACCTCCCCCCATCCTAGGAAGCGGAACACCCCCTTCTCATCCACAAATCATCAACACCCACCAGATCTTTCGAAGGGCTCCATGAGATTAAAAAAAAAATAATCTACACCACCTATCTCTGCAGAAACATAATGATAATATTTTTTAAAAAGTAAACAGGCACCCCCATCCTTTGCTTTGACCCAGGCCTCATTCCATGCTGCCTCACCGCTACTGGCTGCAAGTTTAGTTTTGGGGAAAGAGGGATTCGGGAAGGGGGAGGGATTATAATTATATCCAAAGCGAGGTAGGAGCGGGTAGGAAATCAAATAAAAGGAGGAGGGGGGGGGAATCAAGAGCTCGACAAAATCTCCACTCACTTCTGCAGATCCGGCTCCGCTTTGGGCACTCCCGGGAGAGCTGGGGGGTGGGCTCACCCTGGCTTGCAAAGTCCGACGGGGACGAGAGGGGGCTTCGGATCCCGGGAAGGGCTCTTCACACCGGAGATGCCCAGCCCGGCTCCGCCTCCGCGACCCCTTTTCTGTTTTTCTCCTTCCTCGGTGGCTTTAATGGCGCGGCTGCGGGCGGCACAAGCCGAAGCGCTCTCGGCCGCCCCCTTCCGAAGCCTTCGCTCATTGCAGGGCGGGGGGTGGGAACCTGACATGCAAAAGCCCTGTTACTCCCGAGTAAGCCCAGAGAAGATTGACGCCGCGACACGTACTAGGCACATCCCAAAAAGCAAGCAACCAACTCCCCACGAAAGCTCCTCCCCTGCCGCAAATTTGGTTAGTCTTAAAGGTGCTCCTGGACTCTTTCTCTTTTCTGCTGCTGCAGACAGACTAACACGGCGGCCCATCTTGATCTGTCTGGGTACAAGCTTTTGTGTGCATTACAGGAGAGCCAGTTTGGTGTCGTGGTTAAGCGTGTGGACTCTAATCTGGGAGAACCGGGTTTGATTCCCCACTCGTCCGCTTGCACCTGCTGATGTGACCTTGGGTCAGTCGCAAGCTCTGGCACAGCTGTCTTTGAGAAACAGCAGTTTGTGTCAGAGTTCTCTCAGCCCCACCCACCTCACAGGGCGTCTGTTGTGGGGAGGGGAAGGGAAAGGAGTTTGTAAGCCGCTCTGAGACTCCAAGTGAAGGGCGGGGTATAAATCCATTAGTGAGCCGGGCCCGGCCCTGTCCAGACTACAAAGATCAGTTCCCTGGGGAAAAATGGCTACTTTGGAGGGTGGCCTGTATGTCATTACACCCTGCTAAGGTCGCTCCCCTCCCTAAACTTCACTCTCCCTGGGGATCTACTGCCAAATCTCCAAGGAGTCCCCAAACCAGGACTAGCAACCCTAGGATCAACCCCAAATGTCGCACCATACTGATGTAGTGGTTCAAGTGTCAGCCCAGACCAAACCCTTCCTGAGTTGGAGTGAAGCTCGTGGGTTGACCTTGGATCAATTCACACCCCCTCCAATTCTAACCTACCTCACAGGGTTGCTGTGGGGATGAAATGGGAGAGGGGAGAACTAGATAGGGAGAAGGGCAGGATTTAAAAAAAACATGTGCTAACTAATAGAACAACGTTTGAGTCCAATGGCACAAGGTTTAATTCTGGGGGTAATATTTCGTGTGCATGCAACACCTTTTCGAATACATTGTGCCTGCACAGGAAAGTGAATAAAACTTTGTTGGTCTTAAAGGTGTCACCAGGGCCGGCTCACTCACTAGGCGAACTAGGCGATCGCCTAGAGTGGGCCAGCCCTTAGGGGCACCAAACTGCACCCGGCCCCGTACTCTGGGAGTTTCTTGATTATTTGTGTTTTTCATTCTTCCTAAAATGCATTTATTTTTTTTAATTGGTGGGTGCGCCGGTGGGGGGGGGGGCGCCAGAAGGGATCCCCACCTAGGGTGCAAAATAAACTGGGGCCGGCCCTGGGTGTCACTGGATTCAGACTTTGTTCTGTTGCTTCAGACCTACACAGTGACCCTCCTGAATGTGCTTTTGAACACAAATGGCTGGTTGGCTTAGACTGAGTCGGCTGAAACTAAACCCAGTGAAGACGGAGGTCCTGTACCTGAGCCAGAGCGGTCTGGGGACGGGGCTCCCTCTCCCGACCTTCGGCGGGGTAGAAATATAATAATTAAATTTTTAAAAAAATAAAAAATAAAAATATGAGTTACTTCTGAGCAGAGAGTCAGATTTACTTACAAGCTAAGTAACTACAGTTTAGACCATCAGATTATGAGGTACCTCTAAAACACACACACACGTACTAAAATTTTCTAATTACCAATTTGGGGTGGAAACCCAATTTGTTTTATTAGGCTGAACCAAAATATCACAAAACCATGCGCACCTATCACAAAAAAAGGGCGGGGAAGAGCCGTGGCTAAATGGTTGATCATCTGCTTGATACAGAATCATAGAGAATCATAGAGTTGACACAATGCAGGAAATTCACACACTCACACACCCCGGTGACCCCAGTTCCATGCCCAGAAAATGACAAAAAAACAACCCTCCAGGATCCCTGACCAAGTGACCTGGAGAAAAATTGCTTCCTGACCCCAAAGTGGCATTTCCCCAAGTGGCATTCCCCCCCCCCTTGGGGGGGTTTCGAGCAGGGTAGTAAGTCGAAAGATAAATAAATAAATAATACCCCACCTCTCGCTGAGGCCTGCCATTTAGCTAAATTCCCCCAAGAAACTGGAGGCAGTAATTCAGCTTCTTCAGTCTACGCTGGTTGGGGTAACACCGGGTTGAGTCCCTGACATCTCCAGTTAAGGATCAGGTAGTTCACGGACAAATGAAAGCTGCCTGATACTGAATCAAACCCTTAGTCCATCAGTGTTCAGTATTGTCTACTCAGACTGACAGCAGCTCTCCAGGGTCTCAGGCAGAGGTCTTTCACATCACCTGGTCCCTTTTTAGCTGGAGATGCCAGGGATTGAACCTGGGACCTTCTGCAAGGCAAGCAAATGCTCTACCACTGAGCCATAGTTCCTCACTGGTAGTAGATGATGTGAAAGACCTACGCCTGAAACCAGGGGTCATTTTGTAGAAAAAGAGGAGCTCATTAGCATAACTCATTTGCATATGCCACACACCCTGACATCACCGGAAGTGTGTCAGAAGGCAACACCCACCACTCAGGCTCCACTGGAGTGTTTTGGATTGCTAGCTATTGGGAGGGTGGGGGGAACGTGCAGATTTGTCTTCGCAGAGGAAGGAGAGCTTGTACCTGAATAAAACTTGGTCTTAAAGGTGCCACTGGACTGTTTTGGGCTGGGAGGGGGGCGGCTCTGCAACTTACCTGGCTGCGTCTTGCTCTGACTGAGGGCTGCTGGGAGCAGGGGGTGGGGCTTGTTGCATGTGCCCGCCCCCTGGGGTTCTTTACTGCCGGAGCTCTGCTCCTGTGCGCTCCTGCAGGAAATGACCCCTGCCTGAAACCCTGGAGAGCTTCTGCCAGTCAGAGTGGGCAATACTGACCCTGATGGTCTGATTCAGTATAAGGCAGGTTCATGTGTGTGAAAGGAAAATAAGTGGAATCTACATTAAAGGAGTTTGGGGGGGGAGAGGCCATGGTTCAGTGGCTGAGCATCTGTTTGGCATGCAGAAGGTCCCAGGTTCAATCCCCGGTATCTCTAGTTAAGAGGATCGGGTAGGAGATGATATGAAAGACCACAGGCCGAGACCCTGGAAAGCTGCTGCTAGTCTCAGTAGGCAGTGCTGACCCTGATAAGACCAATGGTCCTTTTCAGTCTAAAGCATCTTCATGTCCGTCTTCACAAAACAACATGCAAGCTTTTGAGTTCTCCAGGACTCTTCATCACGGTGGTTATTCAGCAGAGAGTCAAAGTGGCTTTACAACATCATTCTCCCCCCCTCTATTTTATCCTGGCAACAACAATCCTGTGAGGTAGGCTGGGCTGAGACTGACTGGTTCAAAGTCACTGAAGCTCCCATGGCAGAGTGGGGATTCGAACCCAGGTCTTCCAGATCTTAGTCCAACACTACGCAATGCTGGCTCTTAAAGTAGCTAAGCGGGTGAGCCGAAAAGTCTGTGGTTCAGAACAAACTTCTGATAGAAGTTGGCTTTGTCCCTCCATTCCAAAGAAAATAGCAATATGAGAATAATAAGATTATTATTGTTATTAACTGTTTTAACTTGGTGAGCCCTGTACAGGGGAGGGTGATCTATAAGTCAAATAAATAAATAAATAAATAAATAAATAAATAAATTGTCCTGCCTTGAAGAAGAGACATGAAAAAATGCTTTGAGCACCCCAAAACAATCCTGCGCTAAATAACAAATTTTACTGTCCTCGTCTCTATTTGATTACACAACTAAAAATTCCTATCAGCAAGAAAGGCAAGTCAGGTAACCTTACTAAATTTTAAAACAAAACAGAAGACTCACAATTTGAAGGGGGAAAAAACTCCCCACATTCTCAGAACTTTTAGAGGTTGGAATAAGCTGATTTTTCTCCCCACTCCTCTTTTTTCCTTTCTCTCAACTTTCAGCTGTTCTCAATGTTCTATCCCTTCTGAAGGATGCTCAGTCCTTATACCTTTTTCATGCGGTTAATTTACAAAGTCACACACACACACACACACACACACACACACACACAGAGTTTCCCCCCAGCAGGTAAAAAGCTCTTACCCTTTCTGTTAGTGATTCACTTTTGCGACTTTCATTATGCACAGAGATCAGCCTGATTATCTATTCACTTAATTCATACACTGCTTTCCTCCCCAAAGCAGCTTACACCATTCTCTTCTCCTCCCGGTTTTATCAGCACAACAGTCCTTTGAGGTAGGTTAGGCTGAGAGTTTATGGCTGGTTCAAGACCACCCGGTAGGGATGCCAGCCTCCAGGTGGGGCCTGGGGGATCCCATAAGAACATAAGAGAAGCCATGTTGGATCAGGCCAATGGCCCATCCAGTCCATCACTCTGTGTCACACAGGGACCAAAACCCAGGTATTAGAGCTCATCTCCATGGGACAAAGATCAGTTCCTCTGTAGAAAACGGCTGCTTTGGAGCGTGTTCCAGTTTGGTGCAGTGGTTAGGAGCATGGACTCTAAGCTGGGAGAGCCGGGTTTGAGTCCCCACTCCTCCACATGCAGCTGCTGGAATGACCTTTGGTTAGTCACAAGTTCCCTCAGAGCTGTTATCTCAAGGGCAGTTCTAAAGAGAGCTCTCTCAGCCCCACCGACCTCACGGGGTGTCTGTCGTGGGGAGGGGAAGGGAAAGGAAGCCGCTCTAAGACTCCTTCGGGTAGTGAAGGACGGGGTATAAATCCAATATCTTCTTCTTCTCTTCCCCTACTGCAGTGATGGCGAACCTTTTAGAGATCGAGTGTCCAAACTGTGACCCAAAACCCACTTATTTATCGCAAAGTGCCAACACGGCAATTTAACCTGAATACTAAGGTTTTACTTTAGAAAAAACAACTCATACATTAACTTAAGATGATCCAAACAAAGTAAGGAAAGCAATCCCAAATGCTTTCATTTAGATAAAATTATTTGGCAGAGAATTCCAGTTTAATGACGGTCTGGGCCTGGCTGGGGCGATGGCACACGTGCCCACAGAGAGGACTCTGAGTGCCACTTCTGGCACCCGTGCCATAGGTTTGCCACCACTGCCCTATTGAGTTTTCCCCCCTACTGAGCGGAGCAGTTCACATCCTGAGCAGAACATAACTGCTGTAATCTTAAAACAGGCAAAGGGCAGTGCAGGGCCCTGCATGGCTCCAAACTGCTACTCGGTGGGGCTTCCCGTGCTCATGAGTGGCTGCTCACATGGGCCGCTTAGAGGGAGCAGTGGACTGTATGGCATTATGACCCGCTGAAGCCCCTGTCCTCCCCAGGCTCCACCCCCCCAAATCTCCAATCATTTCCCAACCTGGGGCAGGCAACCCCACGCCCTCTGCCCCCAACAGTGGCCAGGGGGAGGGGGACCGTGGCAACCTGACCACCTAGCTTGCTTCCATGGCAGAGGGGGGACTCCTGTTAGAAAGTGTTGGCATTCTTTAGGCTTCAGATTGGGATGGGGTGGGGGGTGGGGTTTCCTTCCCAGCTTCCTTAAAAAGGACATACCATTTGGCGGCAGCTTGGTGATCCAGGACTTTATTGGACAAAAGTATCACTTAGTCAGTGTGTGGAAAGCAGGAAATTCTAAGAGAGAGAGAAAGGCCCTGCCTTCAGTCTAACAGTCTAACCCGGTAACTAGGCAAGTGTCCTTTTAAAAGCACCACAGTCTACGCAACTTACCCTGCATAGCACTAGTAACGGAGGGAAAGGAATGCCATTTCCCCATCTCTCCAGTCCCAACAGATTTCAACACAACCGACTCTTCCGCTTTAGAACAGGAGGCATGGCACATCCCCTGCAGAAAACAAAAAACGTCTTCCTCTTCCTTTCTCCGAGGCCCCGATTATGTGATATGCTGTCCTGGGGCATGTCTCTGCATGCACTCTCGGTCCTGGCTACCATATGTGTTCTGGGAGGTCCAAGCTGCAACTCTGAACCTCCAAGAGTGCGGAAGCCCAATTCAGATCGGGACTGTAGAGCACGGGGCATAAGCTTTTGCCTCCATGCCATTTTCCTGATCTGAAATAGCCCTGGAGAAACACGATTTGCAATGCTGAGGAAATGTACATGCAGGCATCTATACATGCCTGGCCCCCCGTGGGGTGAGTAGCAGCCCCCCAGGATCATTTCAGGTTGGGAAAACGGCAAGGGTGGGACAGATGAAGGACCCCTCTTCCCACACGCTGCCTTCCCAATCTGAACCTGGCCTTACATTCCAGGCATGGAACACCCCACCACACACCAGCTGGACAGGACTCAAGGCAGATTCAGGGACAGTCCAGGGAACAATGTACCGTATAGTTACGCCCCAAAGCAGAGGAAATTAATCTTTCCCCTCTTCGAGGGCAGACTGCAGTCTTGCAAGGTCTGTTTTGTTCTCTTCTAGCAAGAGCAAGCCTTCGGATTCTCTTAAGGTACCAGTGATCCTGAGTTTGTCGAACATTTTGCTCAAACGTTTAAGGCGCGTGTCGCTAGACCAGTTCCGAGATCCAGCCTACTTTTCAAATCGGCGAGGTGTTTTGAACAGAAGAGGAAGTGACTTCTTCATGTGGAACTCACCACCACCAGATGTGGATGTGGCAATAACTGATCGCTTCGATGGTCTCAAAAAGAAAGGCACGGGACAGATGCCTGGCAGAAAGAGGCCTCTCTTTGTCATGGTAACTGAATGGAAGCTCCGTGTGCAGACAGCAGGCACAAGAACTGAATCCCACAATTTCACCACTTGTAAAAGCTAGCCCGATCCCATCAGATCTTGGAAGCTACGCAGGATCAGCCCTGGTCAGTACTTGGATGGGTTGCTATGCCTCTGTTTGTCTCTTGCCTTGAAAACCCCATGAGGGGCTGCCATAAGTCAGCTGCGACTTGAAGACACTTTACACACACACAAGTCAAGCAGTATTCCCTTTTGTCTGTCCTGAATCTGATGCCCATCAGCATCACTGGATGCCCCTGAGTTCCAGTATTATGGGTGTAAAAGTTCTCCCTCTCCACTTTCTCTGATGGGGGGAGGTGCCATCAAAGCCAACTTGTGACAACCCCTTAGCAGGGGTGTTGAACATATGGCCTATGGGCTGGAACAGGCCCATCCAGGGCTCTTCTCTGGCTCGCAAGCAACTGTTCACTACCTTTACTGCCAGATGACAGAGGCTGTGCATTATGTCCCTGTATACTGTCCCAGGGCTAATGAGTAACAGGCAGTGGAAGTGGGAGGGCGGGCATCAGGGAGATACTTTAAGGAAATGATGTAAGAATGTTCATGTTTTAAGCATGTTGGTATTTTGAATTTTAAAAATATAATTGTTAATTGGGTTTGCCTGTGTCCTTTATAAAGTTTATATCTCCCGTACCTGGCATTACATTTTATGGCACGCGTGGCCCGGCACGACAGAGTGACATTTGTGTCAGATTCAGCCCTTGTGACAAATGAGTTTGACACTTCTGCCTTACAGGGTTTTCAAGGCAAAAGATAAACCAAGGCAGTGTTCCCTCTAAGCTGAGTCAGTGTGAGCTAGCTCACAGTTCTTTAGCCTCCGGCTCACACATTTTTGTCTTAGCTCAGGAAGGGATGGCTCCAGAGCAAACTAATTGATGCAGTAGTCATATCGCTCACTCACTACTTCAATGCCAGTAGCTCACAAAGTAGAATTTTTGCTCACAGGACTCCACAGCTTAGAGGGAACATTGAACTAAGGTAGTTTGCCATTAGTCTGCGGTAGAACGGCTAGATACAAGACCAGTAGCACCAACAAGATTCTCAGGGTATGAGCTTTTGAAAGTCAAACCTCCCTTCATCAGATATTAATCTGACAAAGGGAACTTTGACTCTCGAAAGCTTGTTGGTCTCTAAGTCCGTTGACATCAATGGGCTTGAACTCTCTCACTTAGAAAAACACGCCTAGGCGCGTCAAAGATAGCTTTGTCTGACTGAAACAAATAAGTTGTTGCCAGTGTGAAAATCACACCGCTTTCGCCACCTCTCGGATTCTCTGATGTGTAACAATGACGAAAATGGCTAGCTTATTTTCCCACCGGCTGAACACCTTAACTCCCACAGTCAAAGATCTGCTGGTGTCCTGTGTGGGTTCTCTGATGTTTTATCAGTGTATCTTTGCGACTAAAGCTCCTCCCACACTCTGGACACCCATACGGCTTCTCCCCTGTGTGGACTTTCTGATGCCGCTCTAGATGTATGCTCTGGTTGAAGGATTTCGCACAGTAGGAGCATCCGTAAGGCCTCTCTCCGGTATGGATTCTCTGATGGGACTTGAATGATCCACTTGAACGTAAGCTTTTCCCGCAATCAGGGCACTCGTACGTCTTCTTCCTGGTGTGTCGACGTTGGTGCCTAATCAAGTGTTCTCTCTGCAGGAAGCTTCTCCTCCCGTGGGAGAATTCATAGTGCCTCTCTCCTATAGGGATTCTCGGATGTTTATGGAGGCTTGGGTGGAAGTCTCCCCCACGCACGAGACATTTGTGGAAGTTCTCTGGAGCGGTCACTGTATCACGGTGATCTGCAACGGTATCTTCCCCCGTACTTGGAGAACCTTTGGGGCTTGTAGACACTGTTATCTTGGCAGCTGTATACTGCCTTTGGGATTTGCATGCTTGCTTTTGAATTTCAGCAGGCTTCAACATACTCCGTTGGGTTAAATGCAGCACAGTCCTCTGTGATTCCTCGGACTCTCTTCTTCCATATTGGGCCTCCTCCACCTGGAGCTTAATCCCCTTTCTGCCACCTGCGGAGACAGAGAGAAGAGTCTTGTAAATGCTTCGGTCACCCCTGCTCAAGACCACAGCAAAGTTCTTCTTGCTGACTCCTGCCTCTATTCACAACAGTTCTCTCTGTATCGCAGACTGGCACCGTTCTTCTGGGCTAAACTTTAAGAACGAACAATGATATTCCTACCCTGTATCAAGGAATACGGAATTTTCGCCACCCATCCTATTACACATCCTATTACACGTCCTATCAGCACTTGCTGATTTAAGGCACCCAATGTCAGACCTGCTGTTTTTCACTTTCAAGTCATACCCAACACCATAGTTTCCCTGTTGGCAGAGCAAAAGAGACAGTTCAAACTAGAAGTGCCCTGCTGGATCAGTCAAAGGTCCATAAAATTCATAAGAACATAAGAGACACCAATGTTGGATCAGGCCAAAGGCCCATCCAGTCCAACACTCTGTATCACACAGTGGCCAGAAATCCCAGTGCCATCAGGAGGTCCCCCAGTGGGGCCAGAACACTAGAAGCCCTCCCACTGTTGTCCCCCCCAAGCACCAAGAAGACAGAGCATCACTTGCCCCAGAGCCCCTATCTATACCTTGTGGCTAAGAGCCACTGATGGACCTCTGCTCCATATGCTTCTCTAATTCCCTCTTGAAGCCGTCCATGCTTGTGCCACAAGGAGTGGGGAATTCACCACCCTCTTCCACAGCAGGCAGCCAAATGCTCCCGGGAAGCCCGCCAAAGCAGGGCATGAAAGTCTGCCTCCCGTATCTCTGTATTTGTGTCCTTCAGAATTTAGCATCCAGAGGTCACATGGCCTCGATGGAAGTTTTACTTCGCTATCATAGCTAGCCACAGCGGGTGGGTCCACTGATGGCTACCAGCCACAGTGACTAAAAGGAGCTTCCATATCCAGAGGATCTCCATCTCTAAACGCCCATGAGAGGAAGTCTCAAGGGGACGGTCTTGCTGTCCCTCAAGGGCAGTAGTTATGAGACAGGCTATCAACAGGGTTTCCCACAAATTATGCAAAACTGAATTATTCAAGAGGGTTTTTCTGTGCAGGCACTAGAGTTGCACTGAACTAAAGGATTCACAAAGTTACTTGGATAGATCATCAGGGACTGTGGTCTGTACTTAGCTTGTTGAAACGAGGATCCTACAATGTAATTTCTGCATCATTTAATGTTTCCTGTTAATACTTGTGCTTTGCTTCAGTTCTGCTCTTAGACTTCTGTTCAGGCCCGTAGCTACAGAGGGGCGATTGGGGGCTCCAGCCCCTTGCTTAAAGGGCCCCCGCTTCTTAAGGTCCCCCACGCTTCTTCCCAAAAGAAAAAATTCACTGCCACAGGAAGTGGTGGCGGCTACAAGCATGGACGGCTTCAAAAGGGAATTAGATAAGCATATGGAGCAGAGGTCCATCAGTGGCTATTAGCCACAAGGTATAGATAGGGACTCTGGGGCGAGTGATGCTCTGTCTTCTTGGTGCTTGGGGGGTCCACCAGTGGGAGGGCTTCTAATGTCCTGGCCCCACTGGTGGACCTCCTGATGGCACCTGGTATTTCTGGCCACTGTGTGATACAGAGCGTTGGACTGGATGGGCCTTTGGCCTGATCCAACATTGGCGTCTCTTATGTTCTTATGTTCTTAAAGGGATCCTGTTGTATCAGCTGAAGGGCCCTTTAAATCTTGCAGAAGGGAGGGAGAGGGGTGCGTGCGGCCCCCTTCATTACGGCAGCCCCACCAGAATTTTTTTTGCCCCACAAGCCAAGAAATCCTGGCTACGGCCTGCTTCTGCTTGGTTCTACACCCCTAATCCTATTGTATAGTTTATTGAATGTCACATCTTGTTGATTATATTGACTATGTAATCCGCCTTGAGTCCAAGTGAGAAAGGCAGACTATAGATAATGTAAGTAAATAAGTAAAGTGTTCTCTAGACCTCCCCACTGTGAATTGAAAGTCTCAACAGCCACGTCCATAGTTGCTGGCAGTTAATTTCATAAATGATCGAATGAGTGCATAAAGAAGAGCTTTTCAAAACCTGTACTGAATCCACCTTTAATTGGTTATACACAGTCTTTGTGTCATGTCAAACTGATAAAAGCATTTTCTGGAATAAAACCTCTAGTATGTTCCCCCACAAACTCGTCTCATTTCCTTCCACTTAATTAAAAAAAAATCTTCTCAAAGTAGACTTCCAGGGAAAGATAGAGGCCACCACTCAAGATTAATGGCTGCAACTCTTTGTCGTATTAAGGGCACTCCTGAGATCTCCGTTGCTGGTGAGTTTCCTGATGCTGGACCAAGGTGAAATTCCGGGTGAAATTCCTCCCGCACTCAAGGCATCTGAAGGGCTTCTCTCCCGTGTGGGTCGTCTCGTGGCTCATGAAATGTTCTTTCTTCTTGAAGCATTTCCCACACTGGGGACATTCGAAAGGTCTCTCTTCCGTATGGATTCTCCGATGCCTTGTTAACATTTTTTTATAAAGGAAGATCTTCCCGCACTCGGGACATTCGTGCCGTTTCTCTCCAGTGTGGCGTTTCTGATGATTCAACAAATTTTGCCTGTATTGGAAACTTTTCCCGCACTCGGAACATTCACAAGGACTCCCTTTGGTGCGAGCTCCTCGGTGACTGTCTAGCAGCTTCCTAGAACGGACGCTTTCCCCACAATTGGGACAATCGTACAACATCTCACCTTGACTCTGTTGTCTGGTCCAATCATCTTCCTCCAAGCATTCGTAGAGTCTGAGTGGCTTCTTGCCTGTAAGACTTCCCTCATGTTGCTCAAGGAAACATGTCTGCTGGAGGTTTGCCTCTGATATTGGACACTCATAGGGGTTCCCATCTGTGTGGATTGCGAGAAGTCCGGGTTTGTACTTTCTCCCATACTTGGAGAACGTGGGCTTCCCCCGCTGTGCATCTACTGTGTACATTTTGCAACTGGCAGCAGAAAGACATCCTAAAATTTCTGCGGGCTCCTTCGTGACCTGCAGCCCTTGGGACTCACATCTCTGCTTGTGGATTTCAGATGTCCCGGGAATGTCCACCTGGGCAGCTTCTGTCGACGACTCCCATGTTTCATCTGGGCCAGATTCCTCCTCCTCTGAGTCCTCCTTTTTGATTCTCTTCACATCACCTGAAAGAGACAGAGAGAGGGATTAGTTCATCTTTTGCTTCGAGACCTTAAACTGCAGCTCAGTGGTGGAACATCCGCTTGATAGGCAGAAGGTCCCAGGTTTAATCTTCGGCATCGCGAGTTGAAAGGATTAGGTAGACCACAGGTCTAACAAGTTCATTTAGGTAGGGTGAGAGCCAGTTTGATGTTGTGGTTAAGAGTGGCAGACTCTAATCTGCACAACCGTGTTCGATTCCCCACTCCTACACATGAAGCCAGCTGGGTGACCTTGGGGCAGTCACAGTTCTCAGAGCTCTCTCAGTCCCTAAAAACAGGTCTAGCTTGCCACTAGCACAACGCTAAGAGCTAGAACTTGCAGCCACCAGACACTCCCACTCTTCACTACCAGAAGGAGTCTCAGAGCAGCTTACAAGCTCCTTTCCCTTCCCCTCCCCACAACAGACATCCTGTGAGGTAGGTGGGGCTGAGAGCTCTTTCCAGAACTGTCCTTGAGAGAACAGCTCTGCCAGGGCTATGGCTTGCCCAAGGTCATCCAGCAGTTGCAAGTGGAGGCATGGGGAATCAAACCGGGTTCACCCAGAGTCTGCGTGAAGAGGAGGAGGAGGAGGAGATTGGATTTATACCCCGCCCTTCACTACCCAAAGGTATCTCAGAGCGGCTTAGAAACTCCTTTCCCTTCCCCTCCCCACAACAGACACCCTGTGAGGTAGGTGGGGCTGAGAGAGCTCTTTCAAGAACTGCACTTTCAAGAACTGCCCTTTCAAGGACAGCTCCTGTCAGAACTATGGCTTGCCCAAGGTCATCCAGCAGCTGCAAGTGGAGGAGTGGGGAATCAAACCCGGTTCTCCCAGATTAGAGCCCACGCACTTAACCACTACACCAAACTGGTTGGCCACTGTGTGAGACTAGATGGAACTAGCTGGACTAGATTGAACCCTGGTCTGATCAAGCAGGGCTCTTCTTATGTTCTTATGTTCCTGAATGGTAAGAATCTCCCAAATAGCCTTCTCTGGTCCCTTACCTGGATCTTGGCCTGTGAGTCTCTCTCTTTCCTCCAGGAACTGGACCAACATTTCTTCCTCTTTTTCCAGGCGTGAGGCAAGGCCAGATTTAGGAACTAAAAATCCCTCTAGAGCAGAGAGATAAAGGGAAAGAAAAGGAGAATTATTCCTGACGCATTTGGATTAAAGGAATATTCCCTGATAATACTTTTGGGTTTTTTGACTTTCTGATTTAAAAAAAAAAAACATCAATGAGAAAATTTGAAGTAAAACAAAATATTGTAACAAACTTATAAGTAAATGCCAGCAGAGGTCATTTCGGGGGGGATCGTGGGGGATCGCAGTTCCCCCGGGTGAGGTACGGG